CATACTGCTGCAGTGGTCCCCTTACCCCTTCTGAGCAATCAACAGTTCCTGCTTCTGGAAGTCAAGCAGCCCAGCCTAGTGCTTGAATGCAGCTGCGGACATCTTGGCCTGGGCTGAAGGTGTAAATGTGACCTTGAACCCACTGTCAGCTCTTGGCTGGTGGCGGGAAGGGCATAGCCCAGCCTGGCTACTTAAAGGCAGCTTGAGCCATTCTGGCCTGGGCTAGGTGTCAAACTGGACCCTGGACCACACTGGCCAACTGTGGCTGAGGTGAGGGGCACAGCATGGTCTGATTGCTTAAAGGCAGCTTGATCCATCCTGGCCTTGGGGTGTGCGCCAAAGGAACTCTAGTCCCACTGTCTGCTTTTGGCTGGTTCATAGAAGGACAGAACAGGGCCTGGCTGCTTGAAGGCAGCTTGAGCCATCCTTGCCTGGGTTGTTTTAATGAAGGACATTGCAATGTATATAAAGTGGTATATCATTGTGGTTGCCATTGTCATTCACTTAATGATCAATCATGCTGAAAATCTTTTTGTGCTAATTAATTAGCCTTTTGGTTATCTTCTTTGTAGAAATATTTTTAGTTCTTTGTCCATTTTGGTATCTGTTGTTATTGCTTTTGAGTCTCAGAATTTTCCTGCCAACATGCCCGAGTCCACCAAGGGATGAGGTGTCAGTGTTCTTGGGCTGCAAGAACCACTGGGGACAGTCTAGTTAGCATGTCCATTTATTGTAAAGTGAGCACAACTCCTATGCACTAGGAAAGGAGACAGCAGAAGAGCAGTCCCAGACAGCCCTCCCACACAGCAATGACAGTGTAATTGACTAGAAGGCATGTCTATCCATTTAGAACCTCCAATCAAGTCACAGGTCAAGTACTGCAAACATGGCTCTAAGCCATGCCTCAAGGTTATAGACAGGGTAGGCTGTTAGTCATGCCCACCAGGTAGCATTTGAGTTGACAATCATACTGTAATACATGCTTATTGAATTTTTGACTGATGCACAAATTAAATGAAAATTGTCCTGTAACTCTACCATGAGTTGACCTTAATAACATTTTCAGTGTTGCAACTATGTTTACTGTGGAGTAATAATTCTTAAAAGCAGTCCACACTGAATGTGCTGTAGTGTGTGAAGAGGAGTGAAATCTTGATGACTACAAATCAACCTATAATGCTTAGGTACAATTTGTTAAATGTGTTTTTTCATTTATTTTGATTGGAAACTCAGATTTACAGAGAGAAGGAGAGACAGATCTTCCATCCACTGGTATAATCCCAAAGTGGCTGCAATGGCTGGAGCTGCCAGAGCTGAGCCGATCTGAAGCCAGGAACTTCTTCCAGGATTCCCACTCAGGTGCAGGGCCCAAGGCTTTGGGCCTCCTTCTGCTGTGTCCCAAGGCCACAAGCAGGGAGCTAGATGGGAAATGACCAACCAGAATATGAACCAGTTGCATAGGAAGAAGAAATAGAAATTTTGGAAACAATGGTCACATCAAGTCTTCCCTAACCATTGAACCTTCCCACCCTGATCATTTATGTAAACAACACCCACAATAAACAAAGAAAATTCAGCTCTCATGTACACCAGTTGGGAATTGCATCCCAATCAAAGCGTCACCCTATAACGCATACTAGGTCTGCCCCTGCCATGATTCCTTCGATGTTTTGAGCAGCAGACTGCTCTTTGCTGCAGCCTGGACCAGTGTGTCCTGTTCCCAATCCCAGTATTCATGAGTGTCTGGGGGTTCCATGGTCATGTGTGGCTCAGCTCTTTACAACTCTCAGCTCTTGAGCAAGCCGTCAGAAATTGCAGTTCCACAGGTTGAGCCCTCACATTTCCAACAGGCTCGACCCCCAGACCTGGTTCTTATGCATGCCTGTTGGTATCATGGCCCAGCTTAACATTATCTGCCCCTTCTGTGAAACTCATTGGCAGTAGTGTAATCTTTCCCTGCCAGACAGGCCCCCAGCCCTACCTTAAGTATGCACTGGTGGGTGGTGGTAGTCCATGTTAACCATCCCAGTTCAGGTCTCCCAATTTCTCTATCTTTGCTTTTCAAATAAATCTAGCTTCTAAAGCAGGGAAACAAAAAATTCCAAATCTAAATGGAAGTCATATTTTATTAGGTAACATTAGATGTTTTATTTTGTTGTTTTGTTTTGTTTTTCTAGAGAAATTGTACTTCTTTGATGAGCTTTTTGGATTATTCGGGTTTCTATATCACTGTTTTTTTAAGATTTATTTTTATAGCAAAGTCAGTTATACAGAGAGGAGGAGAGACAGTGAGGAACATCTTTCATCCTATCATTCATTCCCCAAGTGACCGCAACGGCCAGAGCTGTGCCAATCAGAAGCCAGGAGCCAGGAACTTTTTCCAGGTCTCCCACATGGGTTTTGGTTACCAAAGCTTTGGTCCATCCTTGACTGCTTTCTCAGGCCACAAGCAGAGAGCTGGAAGGGAAGTGGAGATGCCGGGGTTAGAACTGGCGTCATATGGAATCCCAGAATGTTCGAGGCAAGGTGGCTAGGCTGCCACATCTGGCCCTCTATATTACTCTTAATAATTTGTGAAATATCAGGACACAGTAAGTTCCATATGTTGTTCAATTTGCCAACTTTTATCTTTCAAGCTCCTTGTGACCTTAACAAGATACACATCCTCTGTTTGGTAAAGAAATGATGAAAGGACCTCAGTAGATAGTTCTCAAAATGTAGCCATTTGGGAAATGTAAATCAAAATCACAATGAGATATCTCAACCCTGTCAGAATGGCTATTATTATTTGGAAGAAAGGGTAACAAATGCTGGTGAGGAAGTAAAAAATGGGAACTTTTACACACTGCTGATGGAGTTATAGATTACGTCAACACGTGAAAAACAGTATAAAATTTCTTAAACGTTTAAAAATAAGATTGCTGGGCTCAGAGCGATGAACTAGCAACTAAATTCCTTGCCTTGAATGTGCTGGGATCCCATATGTGCACTGGTTCTAATCCCATCAGCCCTGCTTCCTATCCAGCTCCCTGCCATTGGCCTGGAAAAGTAGCCTTGGGGCCTGTACCTGCATGGGAGACCTGGAAGAACTCATGGTTCTTGGCTTTGGAGTAGCACAGCGCTTGCCATTGAAGCCAGTTGGGTAGTGAATCATTGGATGAAAGACCTTCCTCTCTATCACTCTTTGTCTCTGTAAATCTGAATTTGTAATAAAAATAAGTAAATCCTAAAAAAAAAAAGAAATATCCTAAATACAGATATGCAAATATGATATTTTGTCATGTACAGTAGCTTAATGAATCAAGCAACAACAAAAAAGGTGGGGAAGAAACAATGGTATATTTTGGTATTGATACAAATATGATGTGTTGCTTTTGATTTATATCTTTGTCACACAGCGGATGATGATATCCTACTGTGGTTTAAATCATATTTTAAATTGTATGATTGAAACATCTATTCATTTCATTATATTTATAGTGGTTATGTATCAAATTGGTCATTTCACTATTCTTTGAATCACTTAGTGAAAAATTAAGATATTGAGTACAATGTGAATTTAAAACATGTTATTTCAAATGCTTAAGAGAGTAACACAGGAAAAGGGAAGATTCAAAAGAAGTATCATACTGTTAAGTGTATGTATATCTGCTACATTAGCTGTTTTTATGTTAAAATTAGTAAATAAATTACCGGAACACTGGTAAATGCTAAAGGGCTTCTAGAACATTTAAAAAAAAAGAGAGAATTAGTTTTGTTACAGCATGGCGTTTGTCTTATATGTATATTTTCTGGTCAGCTGGCAGGGTGTCACTTGCTGATATGAACTAATTGTCAGAAGAGGATAGTTCTTTATTTGACTGTCATTTGTTTCCCTCCTAAGCTGTAGTTTACTATGTAGAAATTAAAACTTCAGTTTAATTATGTTATTCCATAAAAAGTAAAGCAAAAACAAAGTAGAAAGTTTTAATATGTGCGTACTCAAAAGTGAAAAAAAGATATATATTGTCTTATATTTATACACTGGAATTACATGTATATATATTCCATATTTTTTTACTTTTGTGTATGTACATATATATGTCTTATTGATATATATGATCATATATTATATATACTTAATTCCAGTGTAAGCTGAAGGAAATATGTACTCATGCAGGTACAGTTTAAAAATATTTTCAGTATTTCATTATTTCACTTTGAAATAGGAAAATTTAATTTTACTATCACTTTGTAATAATTTTAAGTATCTCAGTATGTTTAAGGAAATCATTAGTAAGATACTCAATAATTTTCTTGTTATCTTGTGCAATAATAAGCATTTGTCCTAATTATCTAATCTAGTATGATATTTAGCTCATATGTATCTAAAGAGTGCACAGCGAACTCATGCTTATTATACAAAACCTGATATAGAATAATAAGGGAATTGTAGCTTCAGAATTGCAAACATGATACAGGACAAAATGTTTTGTTTTTACCTTATGTTGCCATATAGATTGTAAATTAAGCTGCATTCCTAGAAGATGCAAATTGAACACACACAGAAGAATTAAACTCAGCTTAGTATTACAGGTCCTGAGTTAATATCTTGGCTCAGTGTCAATATTGTTATTTATGTTAATTTAGTTGAAAACCAGAGTGGCAGTAATGGACAGATAGAGTGGTATCTTGCACTAGAAGAAATATTCTAGCAATGCCTTCAGCAGTTCATTAGAATGAGAATCTTTAGAGAACACAACCTTCAAGAGAATAAGGAATATTCTGTTGTAATATTGGAATTGCAAAAGTAATACAGCACAAGATATTTTCATTTAACTATGATGCTGTATGAGTTGTAAATTAAACTATATCCATAGAAGTTGCAAATTGACTATACAGAGAATGCACTGTCAGTGTTTCTATTTAATGATCCAAACCTGAGGAGCCATGTGCTGTTACAGGTGTTGGTGTCCTTTGAAGATGTGGCTGTGGACTTTACCCAGGAAGAATGGCAGACTATGGACAATACTCAGCGGACCCTGTACAGGGAGGTGATGCTTGAGACCTATAACAACCTGCTGTCCTTGGGTGAGTGAAGTTCTGTCATGCCTTACAGAATACTTCCGCATAGTTTGCCAATGAAAGAAGAGCTTACACAGTTTAGTAGTTGGTAGGACTAGTGGTGATTTCTGAACATCTGCATCATTCTCCATGAACAGGGTACTCCATGACAAAGCCTGATGTGATCTTCAAGTTGGAGCAAGAATCAGCATCATGGACAGTGGAGAAATCTGTCAAGCAGAGACTTCCAGGTAGGTCAGCAGGGAAGCTGATACTTCTTTCAGTAAATGTTGACTGGAATTATATTTGATTTTTACTTTGAGTTTCTCCCAGAAGGACAGCTGGTGAGACACAGGCATTCTATAGTCTCCATGTATAAGTTTATTCTAGCAATTTGCCAGCCTGTCGCTGTAAATCTGGAACTATATATGGGTTTTTTCATCATCCCAAACACTTGAATCACATCTGCCACCTCCCTAGATACATTTTCAGGAAGTTATATTTGAAGCAGAGTAGTCAGGAAAAGACAAACTAGTGTTGAGATGGGATGTAAGATACTCCAAGCTTTATTTTAAAATTTTAAAATTTTCTCTCATATCTCACTTTAAGTTAAATATACAATGTCATGTAATTGAAATTTTTATTTTACAAAATAGGTATTATGTTAAGGCATTAATAGGTGAGATGTATTGCCTAGTTAATAATGCTCATAAATGTCCACATGTTACTAATACAAAAATATGCTGTATCTTGAATGGCAATAAATGTCATTGACATCACTTGAGCATTTGAAAAGAAACATTTAGATGTAGTTCATAGATATGGTTACTCTTTTCCTCGTTTCAGATCCCCATGGAAAGAATGAGCTGGTTGGAGCTAATCAGAAAGGTCAAGAAATATGCTCCAGGCAAGTTTTAATCACAAAAATTTTATAATAACCAAAAAAGAGCTGCATTTCCACAAAGATGCTTAGTATTAGCTCTGGGCATAATTGAAACACAATATGAAAGGGAAATTGTACAAAAATGAGACTTGAGAAATAAGATTTCATGCTTTCTGCTTTTTTCTTCTTTTTTTATTTGTAGACAGAAGTTTTATTTGCAAAATGACCAGGTGAATGTAGAAAGCAGAGGGAATTAAATAGCATTTCTTGGGAGAGAGCCAGGAGATGGTGTGTCTTTTGAATGGAGACAGCAAAATTTTTCAGAAGGGTCTCAGATTTTTAAATGTTCCCTGAGCATTCCTTGTGTGGACAGGAACCTGTGGTTAAGACATTTCCCATTGGTTGTTTCTCGACCAGCAAGGGAATAGCTGCTACTACACAGCTTCAAACACCTGCCATTCTTTGGCTGTTCAGCTCTCAGAGGTAGGAAGCCACATGAGTGACAAATTTGAGGAAACTTTTTTTCTGATCTCATGTATAAAGTGTAGAGGGGGTCATCCATATAAGTAATTTCTAAAGATTAAACCGGAGGTCATGGCATGGTAGCCTAGTGGCTGTCCTTAGCTTTGCATGCACTGCGATCATATATAGACACTGGTTTATGCCCTGGCAGCCCCACTTAACAGCTGACTCTCTGCCCACTGCAGGAGTCCAGCTTAGCCAAGTTCAGAACTTAGGAAGGACACGTGGAATAGGCATCGAAAATAAATGGACCACTGCAGTTTCAGGATCATAATGGACAATGCAAGAAAGCTGTCCTCTTTATTTGTACAGAAGCCTTCACAAACTGACACCTACTTTTCACACCTGGTCAAGCGGGCATTCCTAAGGATAGTTCTGCCAATTATTTCACCTTGAGGCAGGATATCAGCTGTCCTAATCCTGTGGTCAGGAAGTTCTCAACAGATGGTACATGTCAATGAGTAACACATTCTTATTACAATCCTGATTCTACAACTTAGTCTTGAATCAGTTAAGGGAGGAAGTGCATTGCTGAAGGAGGGACCTAAAGATTAATGAAAGAGGGAAAGAATAGATTTCCACTACACCTAGGGACTTAACATCCTTGATTAGCATGTGGTCAGTGTGGAGAACAACCCTAAGCATAGGTTCCTGCTAGGTGTAGGGACTTAAAACCCTTGATTATCATATGATCAGAGGCAGCTGAGGGAGCAGGAATAGTAAAAGGCCCTTTTGCTAAGACGTTATCATCTTCCAAGCTCACTAATCGTAAAATCAACTCTACAGTGGCAGACAATGCCTAATAACAGAAATCTCTGTTGGGTTGTCCAGTGTCTATGCAAAGGCAGGTGGAACTGCTTTTCAGGTAGGTGCTGGGCCTTGCCATGCAGTGGGAAATTCCTTGCGGCCTTGCCTGCAACGCAGAAGTTCTCTTCACACCTTCATGTCTTTCACATCCACTCCAGGGACCTCAGTAGCCTGTGGCCTGGGAAAGGTGTTGAGGACATCCCACATGCTTATGACTATACATCTGTGTGGGAGATCCAGAAGAATCTCCTAGTTCTTGGCTTTAAAGCAGCTCAGCTCCAGCAGTTGTGTATTTTTGGGATGTGAATCAGCATATGGACAATCTTCCTATGTGTCTCACATCCTCTCTGTATATCTGAATTTCCAATAAATATAAAACATTTGAGCAATAAAAACTCAAACCAAAGTGAATATTTGGTGATGCCTTGCCTCTCATCACTCCTCCAGTGAGGATAAACCAATGTGAAGCATGAAAAAGGAGCCCAGAACTTTGTTCCCATGTGAGGTAATTGGGATTCAGGATCCACTGAAGGAGTTTCAAGTCATGCAGAAAATTGGCCTCTTTTGTCAATCCTCCAACAGTTTTCTAAGTATAAGAACCCAGAGACTTGCTTCTAAAATGACAATTGATGTGATAGTAAAAGTGAAAATAGGTAGTTGGTAATTAAAACCTCTAATGTCCTAAACTGTTATACTTCTTATCTCTGCCAGCCCCCCACCTCCTAAAAACAACAATCAGTCTGGAGATTTAGTTGGAGCTAGACAGTGACTGGAGGTTATGTGGGTGGGTGTCTTCATGTTTGTGCAGAGGCATGTGGTGCCAAGGGTCATTTCCAACGGCTCAGTAGAAACCTTATGGAATCTCCTCTTTGCTAAGTCAAGCCACATAGCTCTTTATAAGAGCCAGCAGTCTTTCTCAAGTCCAATTTTGTGCGCCAAACCAAATGTTACCAGGAAAGCTCAGTGATTCTTTAATTTAGTATAGAAAAGTAGGAATATGGAATAGGGCGGAAGGATGGGATTCACAGGAACTGGGAAAAAACAGAGGAATGGGTTCTTTTTTCCAGGTATACATCCTGCTTCAGTAATCAAGGGTTGGAACAACCATCAAGAGTCACTAACTGGGTGTCCTAATTTCAGGAAGCACACCACTATCTAGTTTTCTCTCGAGAAGTGCTTTCCTCTTCCCTCCTCTTCCCCTGCTCACATGACCACCTTGCAAATAAAATTTCTTTTTCTCCAAAAAGATAAATTTAAAAAAATGACTTTGAGATTCAGTTTCTGTATCCACCGCCTGAATGTGATCAACTGGTATTTAGTAGAAACTAGATATTTTCTCTGTCCTCATGTACACTTGCTGTTCCTGGGAAGACCCAAGCCAGATTGGAGTCCATGCTTGGGACCACAGGTCAGCTACTATGACTATGTGATGAGCTGGGCCTTGACCTGCCTGGGCTCAAAAGGCTTCACCCTTCCGGGTGAGTACCCTGGGAGTGGATACCTTGGGAACAAAGCAGGCTTAGCTTCCACCCACCTCCAAAATCATGAGGTGGGTAGAACTAGGGGAATGCAACTTAATCATTTTTTCATGAGTTGGGTTTCTGTGTATTATGTGTGTGTGTGTGATTTAATTGCACTCAATGTGTGTGTGTGTGTGTGTATTAGATCATTAAAAAGAAATTGGTGTGATCATTTCCAAATTTTCTATTTTTCCTCCCTGTTTTAGAACAGGGTTAAATGATATTCAGAGAAGCTATACCAGGCCTCCCAACCATCCTAGTACTTAAGGATGGGTACTGGACCCCTGATACCACACCAGGGTGTCAATGTGGCACACCCACCAAGGTTACTTTCCCAGTGGTTCTGATAGTTCTGAAATGAGGTCCATGTCACTGATTCAAGCAAGAGGGAACCCTTTCAATGTTGATTGGCCAACATGGTTAACCTTAGAGTCTCCATTCACCCAGATATTTGCTGTCATCATTTGGCTGGGGTAGTTATTCACTCTGTTCTCTCCTCCTTTCTCTTGGGTGGTCCAGATGTACTTTCCAGGCCTAAGTGGACTGCCATCTCCAGGTGGATCCAGGCCAGTTTTGCAATACTCCTTTTCAACTGAGGAGTACCAGTTCTTACCGGACCTGAGCCAGTCGATGCTGCCCCAGTGGAGCCCTACCCTCAGCGCTCACAGAGCTAGCACCACCATGCAGGCGTGTAAAGTATCCAAGCCAGGTGACCTGAGGCCAGCCACACCCTCTAGTCCCAGGACTCGCAGACCCAGGAATCATTGCACTGACCAGCCAAGGACACAGGCTAAGCAACAGAAACCACCACACATGCAGCCACTGGGATTCATAAACTGGGCTTATCACACAGCTGTGCCTAAGGTCCCAGACAAGGCTACCAGTGCCCCAGTGGATCTCCTGCACACAGGCATCGTGAGTCCAGCACCAACACCCCCCTGGCTGCCATGGCTTGCCTTAACTCATTTTCCACCAACATGTTTTGCAGTCTGGCTCAGTCTAGTCTTTCCGCAATTCCACTTCATGTTGCTGTGTCTATGGCCTTTCCTAATACAATCCATCTGGAGGTTTAGCTGTAGCTAGGTAGTGGCTGTGGATTATGTGGGTACGTGGGTGTGTTCATGTTTTTCAGAAGCATGTCATATCCACAGGTTCAGTACAAACCATGTGGAGTCTCCTCTTTGCTAAGTCTACCCTCACAGGTCTTGTTTAAGAGCCAAAATTCTTGTTCAAGTCCCATATCATGTACCAAACTAAATGTTACCAGGAAAGCTCAGTGAATCTTTCCTTTAACATAGTATAGAAACAGAAAATGGAAACTAGTCAGATTTTTACTTGTTAATTGACCAGTTAAACTTGGAAGAGGGGAGGAGGAAAGCAACTCCCAGGAGGGGCTCAGAGATCTGATGCCTTTTGAGAGAGAGGACATGACATCATAGTTTATTTTAAATCCTCTTATCCCACAGGAAGCCTGATGAAATGCCATTTGAAAAGAAGCATGCCTCTAATGTTCTTGAGAATAACCTCGAGGGTGAGAAAAATCTCAGTCATCTTGACAAGATCCACATATGTCAGCAGTCCTTTGAACACAATGGGAAGGAGAAGGCTTTCAGCGGGGAGAAGATAGTCCTTCCGTGTGAGCAAGTTTATACCAAAGACCCATGTAATCAGCAGCCTGTTAGTGTGGGAGAAGCAATTCATGTTGGCTATTATAAACCTTGCCTTACCACCAAGCAGAGAACTGACAAAGGAGATAATTTGTATGTGTCCAGTGAATGCAAAGAAAACATGGACCAGAAGTCAGAACTCATTAGAGATCATATCGTTCAAAGTGCAGAGAATCTGTATGAATGCACAGAGCATGGAAAAGCCTTTCAGCAGCAATTATCTCTCGTTAGGCATCAGAGAATCCACACTGGGGGAAAACCTTATGAATGCAGTGAGTGTGGAAAAGCTTTTGTTCGTAAGTCAACCATGAGAGAACATCAGAGAATCCACAGTGGGGAAAAACCTTATGAATGTAGTGAGTGTGGAAAAACTTATCTTTATAAGTCAAGCATAATCCTACATCAGAGACTCCACCGTGGGGAAAAACCTTATAAATGTAGTGAGTGTGGAAAATCTTTTAGCAACAAGTCAGGTTTAATTTGTCATCAGAGAAGGCACACAGGTGAAAAACCTTATGAATGTAGTGAGTGTGGAAAAACGTTTACCCAACAGTCAGGCTTGGTTTGTCATCAGAGAAGGCACACAGGTGAAAAACCTTATGAATGTAATGAGTGTGGAAAAACATTTACCTACCAGTCAGGTTTCATTCGTCATCAGAGAAGGCACACAGGAGAAAAACCTTATGAATGTAGTGAGTGTGGGAAAGCTTTTATTCGTAAGTCACACCTCATTAGGCATCAGAGAATCCACACTGGGGAAAAACCTTATGAATGCAGTGAGTGTGGGAAAGCTTTTTCTGATAAGTCAAGCATTATATCACATCAGAGAATGCACACTGGAGAAAATCCTTATGAATGTAGTGAATGTGGAAAATGCTTTTTTCGTATGGCACACCTCATTACACATCAGAGAAGGCACACAGGTGAAAAACCTTATGAATGTAGTGAGTGTGGAAAAGCTTTTAGCGACCAGTCAGGTTTAATTTCTCATCAGAGAAGGCACACAGGTGAAAAACCTTATGAATGTAGTGAGTGTGGAAAAGCTTTTATTCGTAGGTCACACCTCGTTAGGCATCAGAGAATCCACACTGGGGAAAAACCTTATGAATGCAGTGAGTGTGGAAAAGCTTTTAGCAACCAGTCAGTTTTAATTTGTCATCAAAGAATCCACACTGGGGAAAAACCTTATAATGTAGTGAGTGTGGAAAAGCTTTTATTCGTAGGTCAAACCTCGTTAGGCATCAGAGAATCCACACTGGGGAAAAACCTTATAAATGTAGTGAGTGTGGAAAAGCTTTTAGCAACCAGTCAGGTTTAATTTGTCATCAGAGAAGGCACACAGGTGAAAAACCTTATGAATGTAGTGAGTGTGGAAAAGCTTTTATTCGTAGGTCAAACCTCATTAGGCATCAGAGCATCCACATAGGGGAGAAACCTTATGAATGTAATGTGTATCTTAAAGCCTTTACTTACCAAACAGGTTTCATTTGACATCAGAGAATCCAATCAGGATAAGAAGTACATGAATGTAGTAAGTCGAAACTCCTGTTGCAGGCAGTCAAGTTTAATTAAACATCAGAATTTACATGGGAAGGCATGAATGTATAGCATGTGTGTTAAAATTCATACACAAACATTTTGAGCACAGTGGAAAGCATACATGCTTCAGTAATTAGCATATTCACAGAAATGGGCAAACCTACTGCATTGAAAAATAATTTTTCTGAAGTCAACTGTTAGCAGAGTCACAGACCTCAGCACTACAAACGCATGTAAACAGAAAGAGTAGCTACCATAAACCTATTATTATTGTGTGTCAGAGCTTATAAAGTGAATGGAAAAGCAACCATTAGCAAGAGTGCAAATATAAAGCATTGTAAAAGGGCAATGGATGTGGAAACATGCTTTGAAAATCTCAGCAAATGTTCAGTAAACATGAGGCGTATCATTTCAGAAGTGGGGTTATTTGTTGCTAAAATAATTAAGATGCAATTTGTATGTGATCTCCCTGTGTTGTGAGGTGTTAAATTTGAATGCTGCTTTCAGATTTAATGTTGATAATAAATGTTCAATGTGTA